ACCCCTCCCCATAAGAACCTTATGATTGCTATTCAGTGTTTGTAGCGTTCGGTTTTATAAAGAAATCCCAGATTTCTCGTCGGCCACGAAATGAACTCCACACAAAACTTACATTTAAAGCCTGAAGAGTGGATCTCGCAACATATCTCGCAGGCACATCACTCGCATCTGTTTTCTCCAAAGACACAAATCACAAACTCGTCAAGTGGATGCTTTGCATCCGCATGATTATCATTACCGGCATCGTTTACATCGTCTCATGTCTTGAGCACGCCCACAACAAGCAACAGCAGAAATCCGGCTAGAAGCTAATCATAGAGTGCACCCAATCTTCTACGTTGATTCGTGGAGCAACTTACGTAGCCGGTTTTCGGCCACGGACACCTGCTCGACGAAGGCTGTCCTGCCGGTCCAAAGTGTGCGGCGTTCGCCGCCTCTTTGGTGGAGCATCAGCCATATTAGCTGCCGGTCTTTTGAAGACCCCTGCTCGAACCGTGTCACGCTCGTTTTCCCTCTGTGGATGAAAATGCAAAGACGCCTTCTTGATCCCAGCGTCATCCTGAAGCTCGTCGCACCATGCGTGCCACTGCCCTAGGCTCCACATCTCCCTGGACGATGTGCGAGCTAAGACTTCGGCTTCGGCCATCTGCCGAGTCGTTTCATGGTACAGCGCAGCATTGTGCGTCATCTGCTTCGAAAGCTGCAGAATCTTGAGCTTTAAGGACAAGGTCGTCTTGTGAATTTTTTGCGTTTCTCTAAAAAAATTGTTGATTTCATGGTGCAATGATTCATTAGAAGTTGTGCCGACCGGAAGCAGACTTAGTCTGCTGGTGGCAATCGCGTGTCGGGCGCGAAGGTTGTTAAAATACCACTCCGTCCGCTCTGCAGCGGCAGCCGAGTGGAGAAGTTCGTACACCTTCCGGTTCGGGCCCGGCACCACGCGGTCCATGTCTTGCCGATACACAGCTGCCAAAGCAGCCAACGACTTAGACCACTCAGCCCGTTCGAAAAACGGAACGGACGCATTCAAATGTTCAAGCACAGCGGTAGCTTTCTTTAGCGGCATGCTGCGATCCTCAATTTGCGAGCGAGCCTTCTGCTCCTCATGTGTCAGAGGCTTGGCGTTATCGCCTCTGAAAATAGTGCCCCACGTGTTTTCAGTGCAGCGTGAGCTCCGCACGGACAACTTCTGCAATATTGCACGCAAGGTCTTGGACATTGCCGTACGCTTCCGACTGGATGCATACTCGCATGTCATGGCAAGATGTACAGGGTCGAGGCACAGAATCTGCAAATTTGGGCAAATGCAACGCAGGCCTTTCCACAGTTTGCCGGAAGGATTGTCTACAGTCACACATCGCACTTGTTGAAGCCCAGCTGCTGGTAGTTTCTCGGCCATAGCCTGAACCAGGATCTCTGTTTCCTCCGTCGCGGTCGCAGCCAACATGAGCACCGCATTGGTGCGCCCTCTGCAAGTAACTACCTCAATTCTCACTAATGCAACAGAACAATGGCCAATTTAATACTTCACGCAGCCAAGAAGCTCGGGTCAGTGCGCTCTCTCCATGAAAAACTGCTTGTGCTTTCACTTCTCGGCTTGCTCGCGGATGTGCCTGTCCCATAACGGGCAAGCAGCATCGTAGCGTCGCATCCATGCTGATGAATTCGAACTCCTGATGCTGCACCAGCTCGTTCTCGAGTTCCTGTTCGAAGCTACGGACGCGTTCCGACAGGAAGATGTCCTCGATCATTGGCCACCAGTGATTTGCGTGGCGCGGTAAAAGGCTGCTGGTCGCACCCGGAAAGATTGCCAACAGTCGAGCATGAAGAGCATAGACCTGCAGAGATGAAGACTTTGCCAGTGGTTTACACCGCACACATATACTTAGAAGAGGCAACGTCCTACAGCAAAAACAAGCACTGGTTTACACCGCACACAGCTACTTAGCATTGGTTGTGTGTATGTGTCTTGCCTTGGCGCTGCACATCAATACTTCTCGAAAGCAAAGTTGAGCGAAGGGCCGTGTGTAGTACAGATTGCGCACGCGACGCAATTCCCCTTGCTGCACAGCCTGTAGAGACCAGTATTGCGGTCCATCGTGCGTCAAAACAAGCCTTATCTTCTTGTCCAGGAGTATATGCTTTGTTGAAATTGTGTCGTCCAGGGATTGGGACAACAGAGTGGCGCTGCGGCGTAAGTAATTGCCGGCAGGCTGCCGCCGACACTGATCGTCATCGTGGAGTGCGATGATAACCTTTAGTTGCTTCGTGCCACTCGCCACGAATTGCTTCCTTGCCGAATGGTATTCTCGGACATGCGCCGTAACACGACTGTGTCGAGTCTTGTCCCAGCAACGAAGCGGACAAAAGGGACACCATGCCTTCCCATTCTTTCGAACCTCATCAGCAACTTCTGCAGGTTTCTTGTTCAGAAAAACAGCAACCTCATCACGAAGAAACCCTAGAAGCTTGTCACCCACTCTCGTCACGCCCTCGTCATCCTCTAACATGTCGTCATCTTGCCCCTCCTCCTCCACGACAGGCAAAGCCAGGTCCTTAACAAACTCATCGTCTGAGTGTCCACCTGCCAGAGTTTCCAGCAGAAGGTCATACTCGCTGTCCTGTGCATCGCGGTCATCTTCAGGTTTTCGGTTGAGGTGGAAGAAGATGATGTATTTGCGATCAGCTGCTTCTAACAGCATGCGCAACAGATCCTCGATAGGAAAAGTGTAGCTGACAGTCATGTCAGTTACGCATACTTCATGTCTTGAACAAACTTCCAAAGCAATGCAGTGCGGGTTGCCTTCGGTGGCCAGATGAAGAAAAATCTTCTGGCCTGATTGTAAATCACCAGTTGGAAATCGAGGAAAGATTTTGATGTTCGCTTTCTCGGCAACCTGTGCATACGTTCGTTGGCGGCGTCGTTGAAAAAACATGTGTTCTGGCCCCTCTGTTAGCGATGCCATAGTCGACGCCTGCTCTGGCAAACCAAGATGATGCAGAGCCGCCAATATACAATTTCCCTTCGCACGAAGACTTTCAGGACACTCGACTGGTTTCCTGTTCGCCACTTGCTGCAACAAGCCATAGAAGGTGTAGTGCTCTTTCACACGAATACGGACAGACAGGCCAGTGTCTTTGAAAATCGCATCGCTGCAACTCGCGCAGAAAACTTCTACATCTGGCTGCGTGATGTCGCGATCCACTCTGATGCCATCGAAGTGCAATGACATGTGCTTGCTTTGCAGCGGTTCCATCCTCCGGATCCAGGACTCGATAACCAGATCCTCCGCGATGTTCCAAAAGTATGTCAACACCGACATATCTGGTTTGTCCTTCAAGCGCACCAAGTCCTCCCAAGCTATGTTCTTCAGCATCGTCGCAGCGACCCAGCGGCAGAAAAGACTTGCTCGTTGCAATTCTTCGATGAACAAATTCTTCGCAAGTTTATCCGGCGGCGCGCCTCCGTTGAGTACTTTTTGTAAAAGATGCTTTCCTTCCGACAAAGACAGCTTCAGCTTTTCCTCGATGACTGTTCTTCGTGATGTTGCACACAGATACAATGTCTGTCTGACTGCTGACCAACACTCGTGCCTGGGTTTCAAGTTGTCTAAGATTTGTAACAACAACGTGAAGGAGCAGTTCTCGATGTCAAGGTCTACTGTTTGATCCAAAGCCGTCGCTTGCCACGCAGTGCCCAAATTCTGCACAGAACGAAAACTAGCGTATCTGCGAGTACGCACATCCGACAATTTGTAGTTGTACGTGACATCTTGGCTGACAAAGCCGTCGTCGTCGGTTCCATCGAAAGGATTTCCACCTCGAGCACCACTTGAAGAAGCAGAGGCCGCCTGGCCTGCAGATGGTACAGCAGGAGACTTCTTCCTTAGAGCTCGACGCACAGGCTGCTCTTTTGGCGATGTTGCCGGAAGCTGCGTACAAGGCTGTTGACTTGCATGGGAAAGTTTCGCCTCCAGCGCTTCCAACAATTCGCGAGCACATTCTTCATGCTTCTGTAGTTTTTCCAACGCGCTCCGCCATCGCGCAATAGATTCCATCTGCTGCGTAGACCGACGACCTCGGCCAGATTCCAACCTTGCTAGCACTTCCGAAAAGAAATGTTGTAGCAGCTCGGCGTTGGCAGCTCGTGCAGGATTGCTTTCTACTGCATCCCAGAGTTTTTTTGCATTGAGACGTTCACGCATCACTGTTGTTTCGGAATCGTAGCCGACAACAAATAAATCTTCCAGCGCCTTCTGACAAGGTATGGTGGGAATGAAATTCTCTGGCTCCTGTTTTGCATCCACTGGAAGAAAAAGGTTTTCCTTCACCAGGTCGTCGAATGCTTGCTTGTCAGTACCGATCTTGGCTTTGGCAAAGCGTTGCCACCAAAGCTTGGACAGCGTTGGCTTTTTGATTTCCATGAGATATTTCACAACTGCGGCATTTGCCTTGTCAA